TAAATGACCTGCGCAGGATTCTCAATGATCTTATATCCGGCGGGGATGCTCGGGAAAAATTCATGAATTGTATGCACACGCCTGTCGTTAATGTAGGCTCCTGCAGTGAGATTGCACTCAACACGAAGTGAATTTACATGAAGGATATTTGGTGGTGTGGCTGCTCGATAGACTGTAGAATGTGCCAGAACCTCTCCGTGGAAACCAAGCAATTGACCGATAGAATTCGATGGCATGAAATTTATTGTTACATCTTTTGGTACCTCAATCACTGTTGTAAGTGTTTGATCATCAGCTTTCAAGCTGAAGGGAATTTTAAAGCTCAATAATTCTCTCTTTAAATACTTGTCGATATCACTGATTTCATAGCTTCCCGTTGGTATAGTCAGCTCTATTGCCAAATCCCCTTTTTGAAAATGGAATTTATTGCGCCCCTCATCAATATTGGGGATTGAAGTGTATGTGAGGAGTTGTACGAGTCCTACACTGTAGGATTTTTGCTTTGATAATTCAATAGGTGGAAAATACCAGGCCTCCAGTACAGAGGACCTGCCAGACAAGGTCAAGGTGAATGAGTCACTCATCGCAGCTGCCACTGAACTGATGTGCGTCTTGATCTGATCAGCCCCTTTATATCAATTCTCCAGTGAGAAATTTCAAACACAAATGTCCACATATAATGGTATTATAGTCTTGATAATTTTTCATGTTATATTTCACAATACTACCGCCACCGAAATAATGTATAAGGTCCTGAGGTGGACGTAAATTGCCATAGCTATCAAAGTAGATAACTTCATTATCCTTCTTCTTGTAGGCAACCCAATGAGTACCTGGGCCATCTTTATCATCAAGGTTAACTATGGCTGACTCATTCTTCCATGGTCCACTTTGAGGCATATTATTTCTCATGTAGACACCACGAAAATGCGGTATTCCCATGATGCCTGCATATTTCACCAGATCACTGTCGGTGAGCGCTCGGGGGGGTAGTTTTATTAGTTTTTTGGATTCAAGTGCAAGCCCAAACCCGATTTATAGGGTTTCAAGTACATTCCTTTGCCCAGAGCAATGGCTTCCATCGATCGGTTATGCCTTTTGCTCTCTTCAAGGTCTTTAGCGGCCTGCCTCGAAGCGCCAATTGCTCTGGCTATACCTGAAGCACCACCAGCTAAAGCACCAGTGGTACTGAGTCCTGCAAACAGTGGGATCAGGAATGCTGGTAAAATTCCACCAATTTTGGATGAAATGGGAAGAACTCTCGACGATGGTTTTATTTTTTTCCTTCCTCCTGCATGTTTTACTGCCTCACGTGCACCTTTCAATGCACTCTTGACCGGATCAACTCCAGAGTGCATGGAGCCTTTCGCAGCTTGCATAATATGACGCAACAACGTCTTCTTCTTACTACCACCACCGGACTTCTTTCGACAGCCTTTTCCAGTCTTCTTTTTCTTCTTCACATTCAGTTTACGATTAACACCCATGCCGATTTTTCTCTTCATATTCATGACGTTTGCAACATTCCAAGCCACTGCTTTTTTACCTAAACCAGCGTCCTTGGCCAAAACTCGTTGCCAAGCTTTATCAGCAAGGACACTATCTGCTGCGTGTCTAGCTGTCAAGTTCTCTGGATTCTTTGAATAAGTTATATCGTGCTCTTTGCACGCTGCATCCAGGGGATTTATCCCCAAATCTCCACGTGCCAATCTCTTGGCTAGCTTTGTTCCGGGTCCACAGTACTGATAGCCAGGTACATGCAATTCAATGGGTAACAAGTTGATGAGTTTATTCACAAAACCTTCACCCTTGGAGGTTTTGGCACGTTTGTTCACCACCATGATCTCTCAAAGACTGACTGGAAATGAATAAATACACTGTATTTAAAGATTTTTCCATCAGTCGTCGTCATGGAGTTCAAGGAGCAAAGTTCCAAGCTGCCTGTCATTAATTTCGATAGAATTACGGATAAAAAGAAAGACAAGAAAAAGAATCGGCACGGCCCACTCTTACCAAATACTGTTCGTGCAATCATATGTGGACCTTCCAACTGTGGCAAAACCAATGCTCTGCTTGCACTTATTACCCACCCGAATGGCTTGAAATTTGAGAATGTTTACGTATACTCAAAATCTCTGAATCAACCGAAATATCAATTCTTGAAAGATTTATTGGAATTAGTACAAGTTATTGGCTATTTCCCTTTCAATGATCATGATGAAGTGGTCAAACCTGAAGAGACTAGACCCAACTCCATCATGATATTTGATGATGTAGCATGTGAAAAGCAAGATAATATTCGAGCATTTTTTTGCATGGGTCGACATCGAAATGTAGACAGTTTCTATCTTTGTCAAACTTACGCTCGAATCCCGAAACATTTGGTGCGGGATAATGCGAATTTGCTCATACTCTTTCGTCAAGATGAGATGAATTTAAAGCATATCTATCATGATCATGTTAATACTGATATGCTGTACACCCAGTTCAAGGAATTGTGCTCCGCGTGTTGGAACACGGACAAATATGGTTTCATTACTATTAATAAAGATTGTGAATTGCATGAGGGACGATATCGGAGAGGATTCGATTGCTATGTGTACATAAATAGTGATTGATTAGTGAAATTCGAGACAGTGTTAAATCGAACGTATAACGCTCAACATGCAGCGCCAGGACTTGCAACAAGAGTCAAGTGTGTTGCAGCACATTGCTGAAGCCAGTAAAGCCATTCGTCATAAATATAGAGCTATAAAGCTTGGTAAAGATACGGCTGAACGTGCTATTAATGAAGCTTTGAAGCCGGTAGTGACACCTCTTGAAAAATTGGTTAATCATGCAGAAGTTCAAAAGCAGAATAACTATAAGAGTCTGATGACAATCAAGAGAATGAAAAAAAGCAGAGCAGATGAGAAGTATGAAGTTCCATCAATTCAACATGGAGGACCATCATTTGTCGATGATAATTTCTCTCTGAAAAAAGACGTCTTCCCTACAACATCTGAGGAAGAAGTAGCTGATGAATCCTCTCCCCTAAACAGGTCTGACACTGGGAATCTCCTTCAATTTTATCTCAATAAGTTCGGTACAGCAAAGGAAAAAGAACTCGATAGACAATTTGGTGTTCGTCAAAGTGGTGAAAACTGGAAAATTGGGAATGCAATTGTTACTTTCCGTGGCGATACATTGATGATTGAGGAAAAATCATATGATTTAACTTCAGGTCTCCTGATGTTAATATTCAACAGAGATCCAGAGATGATGCATGTCACGTCAACAGATAGAGAAAATTATGGAGAAATTTTACGGAGTACACATGCACATCGACTGTATTATCATCCATCCAAACCTATCAAAGATAAAAACCCCACTGAAAAATTTACAAATATAATTTTACCACTAGTATCATCAACTTCAAAAAGTGGTGAAGCTCTAATACCAGACCTGATGGTGGCTCCAAAGACAACAGCCAGGAGAATGGATTATATTTACTGGGATAATCCGAATGAATTGGTGGATAGACTTCGTTTACTCATGGCATCTCAAGCTGCAGGCAATTTCAGTCATACAAATGAAATCCTCTCCATTATTGAAGAATTACGAGAGGCTGAAATAATATATTAACATGTTCCCTCACGTAAATGCTCTCACTTGCATCATGAGTGTCGATGTGTTCGGACGCCTGTTATACAGCAGTAAGGCCTCCACTCTTAGCAGGAGAGGTCCACCAGGTGATGGATTTAAACGTACCCTCGATGGAAATTACAGTTTAGAAGGTAAAAGGTTATGTGCCATTGCTGATCCACTGGAGGAGTCTGATGCAATTTCATTGCGAATTTTACGAGAAAATTTGCAAAAAACTGTCGATCTGGTGAAACACAATTTGACGATAGATTTGAAAAAAAAATTGGAGAAGACGATTGGAGAGTTGGAGTCCACTATAAATACACGTTTTGAAAAAATAGAGAAATTGCTGGAAAACCGACGGCGTAAAATTGCAGACACACAGAAACAATTAAATGGAGTCCCAAAAACGAACGATAGCGGAGGAGCTGCATCGCCCAGCACGAAGAAATTATCCAAGAAGACGCGTTGAAATGCGTGGATTGGATGAAACGTGGCAGGCCGATCTCGTGGACATGGTGAAATATGCAAACTCGAACAAAAACTATCGATATCTCCTCACTGTAATTGATATTTTTTCCAAGTATGCGTGGGCCATTGCTATTAAATCAAAAAATGGTAAAGATGTCACAACTGCCATGAACAAAATTTTGCTGGACGGGCGAATTCCAAAGAAACTACATGTGGATCAAGGCAAAGAATTCTACAACAAGAATTTCCAGACTCTTATGAAAAAACATGACATCGACATGTATTCTACCTTCAGCAATCTCAAGGCGTCGATATGTGAGCGTTTCAATCGAACACTGAAAAATAAAATGTGGAAGCAATTTTCAATCCGTGGAACCTATAAATGGATTGATATTGTAGATGATTTAGTAATAGAATACAATGATACAAAACATCGCACCATCAAAATGAAGCCGAAGGATGTCACCACAAAAATGGAGAAATTATTGTTGAGAAACATTTATGGAAAATCAGGAGCGATTCGAAAGCTGAAAATTAAATTCAAAGTGGGTGATAAAGTGCGAATCAGCAAGTATAAAACTGTTTTCGAGAAAGGCTACACCCCAAACTGGACTACAGAAATATTTACAATCAAGAAAGTGCAGAACACCATACCCGTAACTTACAAGCTGATGGATCATAATGATGAATCAATCGAAGGAGGTTTTTATCAGGAGGAATTAGCGAGTGTCAAGTATCCAGATGTGTATCTGGTTGAGAAAGTGTTGAAGAGGAAGGGGGCGAAGGCATATGTGAAGTGGTTGGGATTTGATAGTACTCATAATAGTTGGATCAATGTCAATGAAATGTAATTTCCAAAATAAAAATGAATAAATTTTTTTTTCAAAAATCATTATTATAATTTTTTATTCATGGTATCCATAAGGTACAGTATCTGTTGAATCGGGTAATAAGATTCTTTTATCATCATCGGAGCTCAGTGCCAATTTGTTTTGCCTTACAGTATAAACTTGATGCTTTTTACTCTGAATTAAATATTGAGGTTTGACAATGTTTGTTTTCTGAAAAAGACAGTTTTTATAATCTTCAAACGTAATTGTTTTCAGCATTGCATTTTTTACACCTTTTGCACGCTTCTTCTCCCGTACCTCACCCAACACCTTGAAAGTATACAATTTGGCACGCAGGCCGATAAAATCAGTTATAATCCGACCATTACATTCATCCTTCATTACACCCAACACTTTTTTATTGTGTCTTTTTATTCCATAAACATTATTCTCGGGATAGTCCGAAGTGTCGAATTTTGATGGACTGTCTTTGATGAACTCATAAATGTCTGGAACAGTGAAATAATATAAAAGACTATCTGTGTCTGTGTACATCAACTTCGACTTGTCACCAAACACTTTTTTCACATAATTGTAATGAAAATCGTAGATCCAGATTTTAGACAAATCCAAGATAGCAAATCCAATGTAGATGGGTTTATTAAAATTGATTTTTGCACGACTCATCTCAATTATTACCATATCATTATCGTCGAAAATGAGACTACTGTGAAAATTAGGCTGAGCAATACGAGCTCTTGCTCCATACCTCCCCTCCCATTTAATTACTAATTTGACATCTTTATGTTTCCTCACATTCTCCATGGTTTTCCCAAAGACTGCATTATTCATCAATTTGAAGAAATTCTTCTCAAAGTCATTCTTCGATTCTTTTCTTTTTTCAGTATTTAAATCAATGTAGGGCTTGAGCCATGTTCCCTGCTTAAACTTCAATATTCGGAGAATTTTTGTCAATTTCATACCAAGAGTCAGACATTGCTTTAAATTTCTGTAATGTATAACGTAAGATTTTTTAGCATATAGAGTAGTCATAAGCTTTTTATTCTTACGATTTGGAGGGACAAAATGCTCGGGACACAGCGGTAGATCTCGGTGTGCATCATGCAATTCTCTGGGATACTCCAAGTCTACTTCCAGAATATATCCATCTTGAGAGTCATCAGGAACATTGAAAACATTGAATCCTTCTGGATTTTCCCATTCGAAGCCGCCATAGGGTAGATGTTGACTCATAGCCGCACCGTACAGGTTGTTAACATCAAAGTACATGAGATACGACTCATCTTTATCTTTATCGTAATTTTCATCCATATATCGATTGTTGGCGTGAGCATAACGATTGGTGCATTGAGCGACACCTCCACGAATCCCTTTTTCAATGAATAAAAGCTTATCAACATCTGTTAAAAGCTCAATTTCCACTTTTGTGTATTTCAACATTGCATCGAATGCTAGTCCAGGCGCTGTGTAATAATGCAATGGATCTAGCTTATACACCGAAGAGCAGCTTTTTCTAAAATTTTCAAAAATGTCTGCTAGGAGTAGAACATCAGTTTTCAAATACAAATCTGAATATTCCCCAAGTGTTGAGATGTCAAACTTCTCCCAAACTTGACACGCATGTTCATAGTCCTCTTGTGATATCTCCCGATTATTCAATGATGAATAAAAAGATTCTTTAGGCGGTAATTTTTCATCATCCAATTTCTCCCAACTATCTACGTATTCATATGGAAATACACCCTTCCGCAATAAAAGATGAAATTCAGCCTCGGTATTGCAATGCGCTCGGGTGATTGTCTTGTCCGTATCAGTCAAGTATGATGCCAATTTTTCAAGACTACTAGCCATGAATCTGAACGAATCAATGAATCTCAAGCTAACTTTCGTTTGTGGTAAATATTTTCGGAATGATATATACTTTTCTTTAGTTAGTGGCAGCAATTCTACGGAACTTTCAAAATGTTTCACTAAATCAACAATCAAAAAATATGCATCATAACCCGAGAGATTATGAAAAACCATTGGTATTTCATATGCATTTTTATAATTAATATTGCATCCTGCATGTGCAGCTCCACGATACCTGCCAGTAAAGTGACGATCTCGATGTTTAATATCTGTAGAAATGAACGGTTTCTCACAAATATGACACTCTTGGGATGCTTCAAAATCTTGCAGTTGTTTGCTAGTGAGTCTCTCCATTGGCACAACAGTCTTTAAAATGTCATCAACCATCACTCCGATTTTTTTCAACTCATTCATAAACCAGATGATGCAGTCAGAGCCACGTTTGATGTTAAAGCGCGATAGAGTTGTATTAAACGAACATTGTAAGTAGAAAGCGATACTGTATGGCACATGTTTTTGACACAAGTTATCATCATCGTTCTCATTAGTTTCTAAAATGCATTCCAAGACAGCATAAATGGCAAATGTTACAGGCTCTTTGAACTTATCATTTTTGAAATTTAGAATTTTGTTTTCCTCCACCGGTAAGACCATTTTACACTTATTTATTAAAAAACAGTCCTGTTTGTGTTCATCATAACGTTTTTTCTCACGTAAATGACACAGACATCGATCACATAGGTATATAAAATGCCCACTACTCGAAATTTGTGCACTCACAAGTTTTGAAAGATGGCTAATCCACGCATAGTGATAAACTGGCTGTGCATTAGCTGGAACATGTACATTCGAACAAAAAAGTAGTAAATGAATTGTAGGTATATGAGACTCCACTTTGCTGAGGTAAAAAGGCACTATTTCCTTTTGATGATTGCTTTTATTTTCAATACCGTAAATATTGATGGATATGTTATTTTTCTTCTCAAATATATGAACATCACTCAAAGCGATGGGGAAGTTGATACACTTATAATCAACCGTCTTTTGACTTTGAGGTATAGTTGCGATGGTATAATGAGGATATGATGAAGTAAGACATCTGTTACTCTTTGCTGGATAGAGAGCAGCGATAACTGACCACAAGAAGCAAAATTCATCAGCATTTTTTATATTCATAACAGCTTTTTTCAGTTGTATATGATACGGCAACGTAGTAAATGTCGATAAGCCAGCACTGAGAGGAGCATATCGATTCATATTAATCATCAAATGTAGAATTTCAATTAGTTCCCATCCTGAATCACATTCTTGGAAATCCTCAATTTTTGTAAGCAATGGTTCCGTGACATTCTCATCAAACCATTCACCGAGATCTGTGGTCGGCAAAATAATTACATTTTTCGTATTGAAATATTTAATTTCACTATTGATGACTTCTTCCTTTTTTATTTGAAATTTACACGCTAGTATACTGTTGACTTTAATATTTCCATTGCTCTCACGAACATTCTCCAAACGGGCAATTGACAATTCTTTTGCATCGTTAAGAAACCTCTTAGGATCCTTATTTTGAAGATTGATTATAATGCCAGAACGTATTCGGCCTCGAAAGGCCAGTGGACCATCCTTCCAGCGAACTCGACGAGTGAGTGATTCTTCTCCGCTACCAGATGACACCGGCATGCGACCTCCTTGATGCTGTCTGTCTCTGAACCTTTCTTCATAACGCTGGATGCAAGCGATGATCGACAAAACTTGGTGACTTCTTCCCCACCCATGGATTTCCCCTGTTCAGGGCGCTCGTGTAAAGTTGAATATAACGAATGCATTTATTAATCAATCGCTCTATGTCGTGATAGAGCGCTGTTTGATAAGCATTCTCTAGGACTTTTAGTATTCGCGGAGGAGGCCCGGTATCGCGGTCCATCTTGAAAAAATACACTAACAAACTCAGTGTGAATGTAACTGAATTTATAGCAATGATCATATGTGTAAAACCCCCCCCCCCCCCACCAAGCAAATTTCAAGAATTATTTGACCGTTGCAATTCTGCGAGTGATTTTTCCGTTGAGATGTTTCATCATGACGAAGAAGTAAATTTCGAGGAATGATTGAACCGTTTACATTNATTGAGATGTTTAATCATGACGAAGAAGTAAATTTCGAGGAATGATTGAACCGTTTACATTCTCGGAATAATTTGTCCGTTGAAAAAATACGTTGGATTGTTTCATCATATCATCCCCTTGATTCATCAAATTCCCAAGAATTATTTGGCCGTTGAGACTGATGCAATGGTTCGAAACTGTTAAAAAGTACGTTGGATTATGCAATTTTTCTTAGAAATTTTATACCGTTAAAATGATCAGGAATAATTGCAACTCTCCCCTCCACTCATGTAAGCCTATAAGTACTGATCATCAACCCCTTGAAGAGACAGTCTAAAGTCTGCAACGGTGCCGATACAATCCTTGAGCCTATATCGAACGAAGTGCAAAGTAAACAAAAATGGAGGCTGATCAACCNAGAATTAACCGTACCGCTTTGGGGAATTTCTTGCCTACCAAACGTCGAGCAGACCTGACGCTG